ACAGGGACAGCTAGCAACAGAGGTGTCATTTGCAGAATCTCATCCTTAGCTTCTCAATCACATACACATTACTTTACCCTGAGATGGAATAGTTTGAGTGAGCTATTTTGCTTCCTTTAATAATTTTTATACTTTCTTTATGGGTGGGTACTTGTAAGGGGAGAAGATATAATGAAAAATCCAAATGAGGATATAGCTCAGTGCTACTGTACTTGCCAAGCATGTGCAAGGCCATGGGTTTGATACCCAGCATATAGCCCCACAGCCCCCCCAAAAGAACTGTCAAGTCAGTAAGTGAAAATATATTTTCAACTACAATCTAGGAATAGATAATTAATATTGAAGGGCTCAACCCAGTAGTACATATTCTGGGGTAGCTATGTAAATATAGCCATCTGGATCTTCCCTAAGTTTTGTATGGTGTTGCTTTGTTGTACTGAGGATCAAACACAGGGCTGCCCTAGGGCTTTTATATTCACTGAAGGGGTATTAGAAATAATTTCTTGTTTATGCCATACTACCTTGAACTTGCCAGATCTAATCTGATCTTGGAAGCTAAGCAGGGCTGGACCTGGTTAGTACTTGGATGGGTGAAATAATTTCTCAGGCCAGTGAGATGGCTCAGCAGGCAAAGGAGCAGGCAACCAAGCCTCAGGACCAGACAGTTCTATTCCTAGAACCCACTTGGTGGAAAGAGAACCAATTCCTGTAAGTTGTCCTCTGACCTCCATACACATGACATTAGCACACACATACACACATGCAGGCAGGCAGGTAGGCATGTATGCACACAAATTTTTTTTTAATATAAAATAAAATAATTTCTTGCTGGTAGAATCAGAAGTATAGATGAGAAAGAAGAATCTAGCATACCCAGAATCTAGACACAGAATTCTATTTGAATGTGTCCTACTCCCTTTACAAAAGACAATGAGGCCTACTGTCTGAAATATTTCTTCCTTGTGTTTGTTAATCTTTTCATTGATCTGACAAATGCCTGAGGAAAATGATTTCAAACTCAGAAGATTTTATTCTGGCTCACAGTTTGAGTTCATAGTTACCTGGCTCTTTAGCTTCTCAACCTGTGTGCCATGAGGCAGAATGTCATGATGATAAGGACCATGGGGTAGATTAAAGTGGCTCATCTCAAGGCACAGGGAAGACAGAGCATCGTGACCCAGAGTCCCTTGAGCCACATACTTTCTCCTGTCACATACCCACCCCCTAAAAGTCCATTTAACTATGACCTCAAAAATGGACTGATCCATTCAGTAGGTCAGAGCCCTTATGATCCAATCACCTCTCTGGAAACACTAGCTGTGAACTAAGCCTTCAACACATGAACCTTTTGGAGAGATACTTATACACAACCAGAACATATTCAGAACATTGTTAAGCCTATTTTGAACTCTTAGAGAATAGTGGAAGGCCTAAGAAGTGAGTCACTGAGCTTAAAGAAACAGGTTCCTATTTCAGGACTGGCTGCTCCAAGTTCTTGATGATTGACAGAATGTAGGTTTGAGTTCTATTTTTAGAGTTATGTCCCAACCTGGTTGTGGGGGAGGACATACTGAATTTTCCCAACTATTGCTGACCATATGCATTTCTCTCTGTTAGCCAAAAGTACCTGAAATTCTGGGGAGTGATCTGGGCTTACATTCATTTACAAGAGCTCTAAGGTAAGGGTGGTGACATCATTAGTAAGAGAAAATCCTAGAAAAAGCGACACTGGGGGTGTGTGAAAGCATGGTCAGCAGATCATCTATCCATGAAAATTCCTTCCCAGAACTTCCCCCTGAGATTTTGGAAATGTTGTATAGAGAAGCCACTTCTCATCTTCCAGTTCATTATCTTCTAGTTTTTTTCCATCCTACTATATAGAGACTGTGACATCCACTTTCATCCCTTTCTTGTGTGGTATTAATTTTAAGTGTCAATGGGATTAAAAATACCAAGAAAACTGGTGAAGCACTGTTTATGGGTGAATATGTAAGGTTGTTTCCAAAGATTTTTGAATGGATGAAGTAGAGATACGTCCTCAATATAAGTAGATACTGTACAAAAAGCTGAGCACCTAGACAAAAACAGAAAGAGGAAATGTTACCTCTGTCTCCTAAACCTGGGATATACTCTGTTTTCCTTCCTTTGTTTACCAGGGCTCCATGTTCTCTGGCCTTTGCATACAAGAATATATACTAGTTGCTTGCTATGCACCTCTTACCATCAATTTCTAGTGACTTTGGCCTCAAACTCATAGTTTCACCATAAGTTTCGGTGGCTTTCAGACACCTTCACATGTCCAGCTTGCAGGAGGCCTGCTGTGGGACTCCTTAGCCTCTATAACCACAAGAATTACTAACCCTAATAAACTCTGTGTAATATCTACATATCCTATAGATTCTGTCTTCCGAAACACCCTGCCTCCTTACCCAGACTCGGCCCTGTTTAGTCTCCTCTATCTGGCTATTGAACAAGTCTTAGTTTTTTCCCACCTGTATATATGTTCATTAAATAAAAACAAAATGAAGTTCACTCTTCAAGTAGGTTACAAAATGTGCAAAGGAGAAGACTCCAAGGCCCTTATCATGTTCAAACACTTACGTTGAGAATTTCATGGCAACTTTTGAAATCATTGAGAAATGAAGGGCCACAACAACAAAGAATGAGGTATATACAATTTGGAAGGGACTAATCATAAATCTAAAGAGTTTTCCATATCCCTGCTCAGTCCTTTAAAGTGGAATTTCCAAACTCTCTTCACAGCTGTTTTAGCAGTCCAATACATATATGAACACACATACTCTACCCAAAAGGATTGCTGATCTCATTTGAGAAACAACTGATTCCATGCTACCAACCATAGCTTTAAGTTAGCCAGAAAAGTCAGGGCAAATTTTTAAGGAATCTGACATTATACAAGAAGAAATTCAGAAAATAAAAAATAAATAAATGCCCTACTCTATATATGATAACCTACAATGATTGGGACTTTGGGGGAAAATGGAAACCATTTTGCTCCTTCAGTAGTGGTTTCTCTCTTAAGATTTGCCCAGGATGTTCATGCAGCTCATTAAGTATGTTATTATGTTGGCTTATGTTTCTCTACCTAGAAAACATTTATGTGAAATGAATCCAAATAGTTTAGGCCTCATAAGCAAATCCACTTTGACTAATAAACAACTAATTTTCTAAATAAAGCAAGGTGCTTTTTCTTAAATGAGAATCTAATTGTGAAATCCTGTATCCTTAAATCTAGCCAATTACTAGCATCAACATTTTAAGCCTATGCAACTTGAATCTAATTTCTCATCAGAAAAAAAAAGAATAATTTCTCCATCATCAAAATCTGAAATGAGATGCAAGAACGCGAGCCTCAGCTGGCAATTAACTCCTGAAGTAAACAAATCCATATGCTGGGACCCTGGAAGATCAGGGTCTCTTCCATTACTTCTCCTCCTCCAACAACCCACCCCTACTTCACACCACCCAACCAATCACTTTCTAATCCTTAATCAATTGGCCTTCTTTTCTGCCATTTACTGGGAACTAAGAATGGCTTCTGTTCTAATGAGATTTTCTTCCTCAAATTCCAGGGAGAAAACATTATTGTTCATATTTTCATGCAGAGCAACTAGTCAGGTGTGACTGATTGACTCTTCCAGCCTTCAAGCTAGAACTGCATAAATTGACACTCTCAAAAAGAAAATTAGCATGTAGCATCTGGGCCTCTTTTTCACTCAGAAACACATTGATTAACAATTAGTCTTCTGGCCATAAACAAATAACTTGGAGCACTGTAGCCTACAAAGACAGAACCTGCCACTCTCTCTTGGGGGACATGCTGCTGTCTGTCCCTTGGCATCCAGTCAGCCACAAGAGCTGATCATTATTCATGATGTATCCTTTGAATTGCTGCAAACATTAGCAATCAGGTTCTGTCTTATTATAGCCACAGGAAAAAGTCTCTCTACGGACTACATGGGTAACCTGCAGGCTGTCTTGAAATGTAGTTTGTGGACCACAAAAGCCTAACAAAAGAAAGACTTGTATAATGAAAATAAACAGCAGAAAACAGAGCAGCCTTTGAAGCATGCATGGGCTGTGCATAGATGACATTTTCATAAGACTTGAGGACATTTCTATACAGTAGACTTCTCAAAATAAATTTCTTTGAATAGATTATAAAACCAAACTGTATCTTTAGTTTTTTCCCACCTGTATATATGTTCATTAAATAAAAACAAAATGAGTACTCCTCTATGCAAGGCATATTAGGTACTGGAGACACAATAGTGAAATAGCATGATATTCCCAACCTCAGGAAGATCAGTCCAGAAGGAGATAGTCAATTAAATAAGAAAAGCTTTGTAACAGAACCTTTGTAACAGAGGCTCTGATGAAATCAAGGGCTGAAGCTTTGGCAGAGCAGAGATGGAGCTAAAATGCACAGCTAACATCTGTACTGCTGAGCAGGCTGGGTGGAGACACTGTAATGAGTAGCTGTCAGAACAGAGAGGTTGGAAGAGAGGGCTAGGACAAGGAAACAGCAGATGTGAAGGCTTGAAAAAGAAAGGCACCACATTCCACCACTGGAACTACAAGACCACCTGACCAGGAGGCTAGAGTAAGGAGAAAGGCATTGCATGAGATGAAAAATGGATTGCTGGACATGGAAACATATGCCTGTAATACCAGCGCAGGAGGAGTGGACTACATAGTGAGTTCAAGACTAGCCTAGACTAGCATAGGAAGACTCTCTCAAAAAGAAAATAAAAGGGGAGAGATAAAAACAAAGGGTGGAGTGGCAGATAGTGTGGTACTGGTGAAATTATTAAGGCCACTGAACGTAGTTAAAAGGGAGGTTTATTTTGTGGGGTAACTTACAAGTGAAGGGATAGTTTACAGGGTCCGGGAAAGGTGTGGTGCACAGTCCGGTGGTGTTCTCTGGAGAACTCTGCCCGGTCTACCGCCAGCGTCCAGGGTCCAGGAACCAAGAGGCCGGTGCATCCGGATCTCGGGTCTTCAGCGTTCTCTCTTGGCCCTGCCTTGTAGGTGTGACAGTTACCGAAGCCTCAATGGGGGTTGGAACTTCCAGATCAAAGCTGGAATGACTACCCACTACAATGCCGGGATTGGGGCTTGCCTATAAGATCAAGGAAAACAAAAGTTGATTGGATTAAAGTAGTTTCCCCTTATTTTTAGTTTTGCTTTCTAAGATTTTAATTATCCAGTCAATAAAAAGAGCGAGCACAGTACAATATTGGGAGAGACCAATAATGTCTCTCATATGACTTTGTTAAACTATATTGAATTTGATCTACTTTATTATGATCACTGTATTAATTCCTTTTCTTCATAGTGCACCAAATAACTGAGATAAGACTTGTTTTGACTCATTTTTAGGATTCAGTTCATTGTGGCAGTAGAAGAAACTCAAGACTGGCAGCAGGGGCTGGAAGCTGTTTACTCACATCTGGGGAGACTAGGAAGCACAGAAAGAGGAATGCTGGAGTTCAGTTGAAATGCTTTTTCCCTTCATATTCAGTCCAGGACTCCAGCCCATGAGATGGTACTCCTCACATTTAGGGTGGGTCTTCTACCCTCCATTGATCCTCCATGAAAATGCCCTCACAGATACATCCAAAGGTGTATCTAATAATGCCCTAGAGTCAGCATGTCCAACCTTTTGACACTGAGGTATTGTCATCTACAAAGCTCACACTCCACAAGTGTGCAATCAAGTAACAAAATATAATGATGGGGCTTGAGAGATAGTCCAATGACTAAAAACACATCCTACTCTTGCAGAAGACCTAAGTTTGGTTCCCAGAACCCACTCAGGCAACTTACAACTGCCTGTAACTCCAGCTTCAGGAGATCCAACACCCTTTGTGGTATCTGAAGTTACCAACACTCAGGTGCACCCTAAACACACATAATTGAAAATAAAAACAAATCTTTAAAATAAAATGGCAAAAATCCTCATACTCTTTTAAGTAAGTTATGATTTTGTTTTGGGGTACATTCATAGCTATCTTAGAGTGCATGCAGCCCAAAGGCAGAAGGACAGCTATGCCTACTAGACAACTGTTGATCTGATCAAGTTGTTAGTGAAGATTATCCAGCACAGTTATCTCTTATGATACCTAATTTATAAATTAAACTTTATCATATATACATATGATAGCATTTAGTTTCAGACATGCCCTGAAAGTCTCGGAATATCTCCCCAATGGCCAAAGTGGGGGGGACTATTACATGTCTCCCAGTTTTCCTTCCATTGGTTACAGAAGTAGCACTCCCTGTCCTTTCCATGGCTTCATGGTGAATTGAATCAACTTTTGGTTTAGTACAATGACATGTTCTGGCCAATGAAATGTTAGCAAGCAGAAGCCATGAATGAGCCTGCATGGTTTAACAGCTCATATTCTCCTTTACATTCCTCTGGCTCTTCTTTCATGACAGTGTATTACAGCCCTTACAGCATATTTTGGCAATTATCTGTTTCCAGGTCTGTCTCTTTTCTGCACTATGGGCTTTCATATAGACTCTTCTCTAGATGTACTGTAGATATGAGAAGGAAGTGACACAGCAGAACTAGCAGGATGCTACTCCCTCAGACCTTGAAGAAGTCACACTGGTCTAAATATAGTTCCTGGTTGCTACAAATCTATTAACTTCATTTCAGAAATCCTGATTCATACTGGCCCACCAGAAACCAAATGATTACTGCCAGTATGTTTCATGATTAATTTTTGCTAAAATACAACTAGAATGAATACCTTTTAGGTTTTTTTTTTATTCATTATTTATTTTACATCCTGGCCACGGCCTCCCCGCATCCTTTTAAATTTCTACCTAACCAGTTCATTTTTTTCTTTAGATAAGTCACAGGCAATACTTAACAGAAGGTAACTTAAGGTTTATAAAATTAGAGCAAAGAACGAGGGCTTTAATATTAAAATGGCTCAGATATTCTTAGCCTGATGTCAGGGTATGAAGTGTCAGGGATTGGGGAGATGCACAGGAAACCTTCTCTGCAGGACAGTGCACAGAAAGGCATGGGACACACTGAACTAGCTCCATCACTGGTTATTTGTGACTGACACTTGGGTTTCCATGAAGCTTCAGTGGCCAATAAAGGCCACAGGGCCCTTACATATGGAACTCTCTGACAGGCAAAAGCAACTTGTGAAAACTCAGTAAAACAGTACTAAGTAAATTAAAATGCAATGTGGCTGGTGTTCAACTGATATCTCCAGCTCGGTCCACTTCTCTCTCTCCAAACCCGCTCTCTCAGAAAAAAAAAACACCAACAGAGATGGCGGCTCCTCCCCTGAAGCTGCCAGCTCCCCCATCCCCACCCCAAGCTTTATAAATGGGCACAAACCCAACTTGTGGAGGATGCATCATCGCCCCATGCCTATAGGGTATTTAAGACCCCTCCTATAGATCAGCCATGTTATTTCCCTCCTGCCCCTTACCACTCCCCACCACAAGATCTCTGGGGGATGGAGGACTCACCTGGGAGTTGATTTGCTCAAATATACCTGGTCTTTTACTATTTAATTCAGCTTGATCTGGTTTACTGCATCAGCAGAGAAACCTATTATCACATCACAGAAAACCTATCAGCTGGTTGTAGCATTATACTGTGAGCAAAATTTTATTGTGGGATTGTAATTCTAGGAAAAAGGATTAAAGAAAATTTCACAAATATTTGAATCGTCCTTTGTAGCTAGAGTTTTCCTGAACCTTCCTTTTTGAAAAAAAGAAAAGGAGAAGTGCTATGGGATGTTCTGTATGTTAAATGTGTTGTTCTGATTGGTTAATAAATAAAATGCTGATTGGCCAGTAGCCAGGCAGGAAGTATAGGCAGGACAAGGAGAGAGGAGAATTCTGGGAAGTGGAAGGCTGAGGCAGAGAGACACTGCCAGCCGCCACCATAAGAAGATGTTAAGATCCTGGTAAGCCACGAGCCACGTGGCAACTTATAGGTTAATAAAAATGGGTTCATTTAAGATGCAAGAACAACTAGCTAGAAGCCTGCCACGGCCATACAGTTTGTAAGCAATATAAGTCTCTGTGTTTACTTGGTTGGGTCTGAGCGGCTGTGGGACTGGCGGGTGAGAGAGATTTGTCCTGACTGTGGGCAAGGCAGGAAAACTCTAGCTACAGTCCTTGGTTTTCTGGAGATGAGCAAAATAATCAATCATGTGTCAATGGAGCATTCACATTTACAACCCCTAGTTAACTAGAGCAGTCTCAAGTTACAGTGTTTTGGAGATGTACATGAATGTATGTATATGTTTGAGGGGTGGGTGAGAGGACAACTTCAGGTGGTTTTTCTCAGGTCTTAAACATTTATTTGAAGGCTTGTTAATCCCAGCACGCGAGAATAAGACCACTACCACAATTTTGAGCCAAATTTGAAGCAAACTTTAATTAAATAATGACCAGGATGATGGACTCTGGACACGTACATACTGGGGTTCCCAGAAAATGGCCACAAGCTACATTGGCCAGGTGCTTATAAAGGCAAACCCACAAGACTACATACTTCCCACATTTGTCCAATGGAGCACAAACATACATCCTGATATACTTCCTGCCTATGTATCTCCCACTCGCATGTGATCAACACATCCTGTGCAGTTGGGTCGACCAACCTTGTTTAGGGAAGTGGAAACATGTGGCTTGTTATCTTATATGAACAACAGCCTCCAGCACCTCAGGGAGTATCTATCTTTAGGAAAGGGGCTTACAGGTTAGAGGCATTTTTGTTTTATGGATCTCTTAGGCACAGTAATTAAAACTTAAAACATAACCTTGGCTCTCACAGGCTCTGTCTCTGCATCCTACCTCACCATTGGTGGGCTGTAAGTACATAGCACTGTGCCTGGCTTTTTATGTGGGCATCTGAACTTGGGTCCTCATTCTAGCAAAGCCAGAGCTTTACCGACTGAGCCCTCTCCTTGGCCACAGATTGCCATTTGGTCAAATTTAGCCTAGGAACATCTACCCATGAATTTATTGCTATATAGGTTACTGGAACACAGCAGCATTTTGGAATGGGGAAAGTTGCTTCAGATCACATGGTACAGTGAGGATCATAGTCCCTTGCAAATTTCTACATCCTAAACAGAAGCCCTTTCCTGTTTATTTAAAAAGAACTACAGGCACATTAAGGCATTCTCAGATCTAGGAGAAATCATCTTCCCAAGGGAAGAGTCTCCCAATTGGTTATCCAATACAAAGTGGTCAGCTCTGAAATAATATACATAAAAAGAACATATAGATTGAGCAGGTTGTAGTTATATATTTAGGGATATATAACATATATGTGTGTGTATGTATGTAAATATATAGTTATATACTATTAAATATTATATAAATGAAAAATTAAAGAAAAAGGGGCCAGCCAGGCATGGTGTCACACGACTTTAATCCCAGCACTTAGGAGGCAGAGACAGGTGGATGTCTGTGAGTTCAAGGCCAGCCTGATCTACAGGATGAGTTCCAGGACAGCCAGGGCTACACAGAAAACGTGTCTTGAAAAAAAAAAAAGAAAGAAAGAAAGAAAGAAAGAAAGAAAGAAAGAAAGAAAGAAAGAAAGAAAGAAAGAAAGAAAGAAAGAAAGAAAGAAAAGAAAAAGGGGCCATGAATTTGAGAAAGCAAGGGGAGTATAAATGGGAAGGGCTAGAGAGAGGGAAGGGAAGGAGGAAATAACGTAATTATATTTTAACTTCAACTAATAAAATATTTTAAATGTTTTGGGTTTGTCTGTTAATATTTCTACCACAATTAGTACATGGCTTCCCACTTGATTTTTTTCTTTTTTCTTTAGCTTTGTGTCCTCTTCAGGACACCTGGTTCATGGCTTATGCATTCACATTTGCATAGAAATCCAGGCCGTACAGATATGGCTGAAGGTCAGCCCAGCCTAATCTAGGCTGGCTCCAGAGTTCAAAGAGCACAGCAAACAAAAATTCAATGCCTGGGAACCTCAAAAGTCAGAGGTTATCACTTTGGTTTGCTTTTACCCCATCAAGCAAATTCTTGGTCAAGGACACACTTCTGACCCCCCACAGACAGAAGTAATTGTTGGGGAAGTTGTCCCCGAAGGCCAGTCTGCTCTCCACA